GTTTCATTTATGTTTTGTATTTTTTGTTGTTTCAATTTCATTTACTTCTGCTCTGATCTTGGTTATTTCCTTTCTTCTGGTGGGTTTCGTTTGGTTTGTTCTTATTTCTATAATTCCTTGAGGTGTGACCTTAGAATGTCAGTTTGTGCTCTTTCAGTCTTTTTGATGTAGGCATTTAGGGCTATTAACTTGTATCCTATCACCCCCTTTGCTGTATCCCAGAGGTTTTGGTAGGTTGTGTTATTATTGTCATTCAGTTTTAAGTATTTTTAAATTTCCATCTTGATTTTGTTTTTAACTCAGTGATCATTGAGGACCACGTTATTTAATTTCCATGTATTTGCCTGGTTTCAAGGGTTCTTTTTGGAGTTGATTTCCTGTTTTATTTTAGTGTGGTCTGAGAGAGTGCTTAATATGATTTCAGTTTTCTTCAATTTACTGAGGCTCATTTTATTGCCTATTATATGGTCTGTCTTGGAGAATGTTCCATGCGCTGTTGAATAGAATGTGTATTCTGTGGTTGTGGGATGAAATATTCTCTATATATCTGTTAAGTCCATTTGTTCTAAGGTATAGTTTAAATCTGTTGTTTCTTTATTGACTTTCTATCTTGATGACCTGTCTAATGCTGTCAGTGGAGTATTGAAGTCCCCCACTGTTACTGTGTTGCTATCTCGTTTCTTAGGTCTATTAGTAGTTGTTTTATAAATTTGGGACCTCCAATGTTAGGTGCCTATATATTTAGGATTGTGCTATTTTACTGTTGAACAAGGTCTTTTACCATTATATGTCCCTCTTTGCTGCTTTTAACTGCTGTTGCTTTAAAGTTTGTTTTGTCTGATATGAGAATAGCTTCCCCTGCTTGCTTTTGGTGTCCATTTGTATGAAATGCCTTTTACCCCACCCTTTTAAGTTTATATGAGTCTTTATGTGTTAGGTGAGTCTCCTGAAAGCAGCAGATACTTGGTTGGTGAGTTCTTATCCATTCTGCAAATGTATATCTTTTAAACGGAGCATGTGGGCCACTTACATTCAATGTTGGTATTGAAATGTAAGGTACTGTTGCATTCACTGTGCTCTTTGTTGCCTGTCTGCTTCGGCTTTTTGTTTTTGCTTTTTAACTTATGTTTTTGTTTTATGGTTCCTGTGTGATTTATGCTTTAAAGAGGTTCTGTTTTGATGTATTTCTATGATTTGTTCCAAGATTTAGAGCAACTTTTATCAGTTCTTGTAGTACTGGCATGGTGATGGCGATTTGTCTCAGCATTTGTCTTGTCTGAAGGAGACTGTCTTTCCTTCGTATATGAAGCTTAGTTTTGCTAGATACCAAATTCTTGGCTGATAATTGTTTTCTTTGCGGAGGCTAAAGATAGGGCCCCAATCCTTTCTAGCTTGTAGGGTTTCTGCTGAGAAATCCACTGTTAATCTAACAGGTTTTCCTTTATAGGTTATCTGGTGCTTCTCTTTCACAGTTCTTAAAATTCTTTCCTGCATCTTAAATTTGGATAACTTGATGACGGTGTGCCTAGGTGATGAATTTCCCAGGTGTTCTTTTTGCTTCTTTTATTTGGATGTCCATATCTCTAGCCAGGCTGGGTATGTTTTCCTTGATTATTCCCCCAATATGTTTTCCAAGGTTTTAGATTTCCCTTTTTCCTCAGGAACACCAATTATTCTTAGTTTGATTGTTTAACATGATCCTAGACTTCTTGGAGGCTTGGTTCATATTTTCTTATTCTTTTTTATTTGTATTTGTTGGATTGGGTTAATTTTTAACCTTTTCTTCGAACTCTGAATTTCTTTCTTCTACTTGTTCAATTCTATTGCTAAGACTTCCAAGAACATTTTTGTATTTCTAAAAGTATGTCTAAAGTTTCCTGAATTTTTTATTATTTTTCCTTTAAGCTATCTATTTCCTTGGATATTTCTTACTTCACTTCTTGTATCGTTTTTTTGGATTTCTTTGCATTGGGCTTCACCTTTCTCTGATGTCTCCCTGATTAGTTTAATGACTAACCTTCTGATTTCTTTTTCAGGTAAATCAGGAATTTCTTGGTTTGGATTCATTGCTGGTGAACTAGTGTGATTTTCTTTTGTTGGTGGTGGGGAGGGTGTTGAAGAACCTTGTTTTATCATATTACCCGGGTTGGTTTCCTGTTTCCTTCTCATTTGAGTAGGCTCTGTGAAGAGGAAAGGTCTAGGACTGAAGGCTCTTCAGATTCTTTTGTCCCATGGGGTATTCCCTTGATATAGTACTCTACCAGCTCCAGGCTGATACTGGGGGTTGTCTGCAGAGAGTCCTGTGATGTGAACTGTCTATGGGGATCTCAGCCATGGATACCAGTACCTTTTCTGGTAGAGGTGGTGGGCAGGGGGCTGCAATGGACTCCATGTGGGTTCTTAGCTTTGGTGGTTTAATGCTCTATTTTTGTGCTGGTTGGCCTCCTGCCAGGAGGTGACATTTTCCAGAAGGCATCAGCTGTAGTAGTATGGAGAGGGACCAGCAGTGGGTGGGGCCGTAGACTGTAGAACTCCCAAGATTATATGCCCTTTGTCTTCTGCTACCAGGGTGGATAGGGAAGGACCATCAGGTGGGGGCAGGGCTAGGCATGTCTGAGCTCACACTGTTCTTAGGTGGGTCTTGCTCTGGCTGCTGTCTGTGATGAAGGTGAGATTCCCAGGTCACTGGATTTGTGTACCTAGGAGGATTTTGGCTGCCTCTGCTGAATCATGTCAGTTGTCAGGGAGGTGGGGAAGCTGGCAGACACAGGCCTCACCCAGCTCCCACGCAAACTGAAGGGCCAGTCTCACTCCCACTGTGCCTCTCTATCAGCCCAAGTCTGTTTGCAGGTGATGGGTGAGTTGGGCTTGGAAACTTGCCCCAGGCTACGCACCTCCTCATTGCAAAAGAAAAGGGCTTGGTTCTTCCCTCACCTATGGAGTCTGCACACAGATTTGCGCCCCCCGCCCCGACTCCCCCACCCAGAGTTGTGGCCAGGAGACTTCTCGCCTTATTCAAATTGTTACATGAGGATTCTTAGCCTTGGTGGTTTAATGCTCTATGTTTGTGCTGGTTGGCCTGCCAGAAGGTGACGTTTTTCCAGAAAGCATCAGCTGTAGTAGTGTGGAGAGGGATGAGCAGTGGGTGGGGCCATAGAACATAGAACTCCCAAGATTAATGTGCCCTTTGTTTTTAAAGTTCAACTGATACTTTCTTCTCCCTGTGGAGTTTTACCCCCTGCTCCTCTGGCCGCCCTCATGATGGATCCCTCTGATGCCAGTGGGGAATGACCTGCTTGGGGACCCAGAAAGCTCCCAGGGCCTTTCTGCTGCTTCCTCTACCCCTGTATTTTGCTTGACACTCTAAATTGAGTCAGTTCCAGGTAAAGTCAGAAACTTCCGCAAACAGACCTTCAGCTTCTCCAGTGCAGGGGGTGTGTTCGGGAGAGGAGGTTCTCCCTTTCCCACATCTGCAGTTGGGGCACTCACAGTATTTGGGGTGTTTCTCGGGTCCTGCAAGAGCAGTCCACTTCCTCTTGGGATTGCAGGTTTGTTCTTGCAGTGGTTCTGGAGCTAAAATTCACCATGCGAGCATCTGCACGCTGTTCTTTCTGGAGTTGCAATCTAGTCCTGCCTTCCATCCACTATGATGATCCCTGTCCAGTGATAACTAAATGTATGTCACAAATAGCAGTTTACAAGGAGTATTACTGATAGTGCATGTACTCCATTACAAGGACTGTTACTGATTGTGAAGTAGCCGTCACACTCTCCACTCCCGTTTCTATCAATTTGATTTTCTTACTGCTTTCTGTTTATTTGGAGGAAAGACTGTAATAACAGTTCAGGCTGACAATAAAGGGTATTGTCTCAATCCAAGTCAAAGACAGAGGATTATTCTAGTCCAGTGTTGCTAAAACAGTTAGCTAATCATCATAATATTAAGAGAATCATATCAGGGAAGATGCTGAAATTAATAAACTGTTCTTGAATGGTTATAATCCTTCAGGAGATTGTGAACATATAAAAATTATACTTTTTGACTATTGCAAAGTCCTAATCATTTAATAATGCACTATTCTTCAGAAGCTAGCCAAAGCATGTATTATGTGCACTCTTGAGGAAGGTGATGCCTTTAGGATAAGGCAAGGTCTGTATATTTCCTCAAGGTTAAAGATGATCAAAGTATTACAGAATTGGGAAGATAAATCAGTATAAAAACTGTGGGCTTTAAAGCCCTAAATCTTACCAGGACAAGTCCTGTGTTTTGTTTAGTGTGGAACATTGGCATCCTGTTTAATGTCTTTGAGCCTCAACTTAGCCATTTGAATATGTCAATACTGAATAATTCTGTGTAGTTATTGTGCAAACTTAATGAACTGATTTCCTTCTTCATAAATTCCTTAAATTATAAATTTCTGTTAAGCGAATAATGCGTTCTGCTTAAAGGTGGAAATATATTAATCACCTTGACTGAATCTTAGATATATTCTTGGGCCTTAAGATATTTAATATAGTATATGCCAGTTACAGATAAGTAAATTGAAACCAAGTCAAGTGATTTAGCAATAATTACATATATAATTAGTGAAAAACATGAAACTAAACAGGTCTCTTCTTTATTCCTTTAACTGTTGTTTAATGTACACTTTGTTTAATTACAGATACATGTACATTTCTCAGTTTGGTTTCTAAGAATCTTTTTTTCTTCTTAGGACTGACTGATTTTTTTATGGCTTTAATTTTAAATGCTCACATAACATTGTTCTGGCTGAAAGGGCTATAATTGCTTTTTTTTTTTTTATCGTAACTGCCATTTAGGAACTCGCATCGTACTGTTGAAACTTTATTCAGTAATATTATACCGTGGGAAACTGGATTTTAGATCTGGAAATAAACATCTGAAGGCTTGAAAGTATGATCATATCTTAATGACATAGAATAAAATAAACTACTAAAGGATATTTTATGTGTTGTTCAATTTATGTTTTGTGTTTTAGGTAGAAATAGAGAAGCTGAAAAAAGCTGTCCTGTCTTCTTGAGGTGGTGTGGACCCGGTTTTCATAATGTTCCAGGGATTCAGAAGCAACACTATGAACTTCAACTGACTTGTTACTTAAAAATTGTGAATGCTGGCTTAGTGATAAATATGAGTATATGAAGTATAATATCTATAGAAAAGTAGAGTGAGGGTGAATTATATATATATATATATTTTGTTTTGCCAATATGAAGAAAAAGAGGCCTTATTTCTTACTGTGCTGGGATTGCAAACATTTTTTAAAAAATTGTTTGCTTGAAAATACTACTGAATATGTATAAATAAGAATGTTCACAGTAGTTTTTTTTAATTGAAACTTGTATTATTTTTAAAGAGATCTATACTATAAATATGGTGATATATTTACAAGTAATCTGTAAGATATACTATTTGAGAGGGGCTTTTTAGTAACTATAGTCACTACTTTTTCCATAATGCATAAGGGATATAAATTTGTGTGTGTGTGTGTGTGTGTGTGTGTGTGTATTTTTACTTTTATCCTCTTACCCAAGGTTACATTGTTGTGCCTATTTGTCTGCTTTTTATATTTTGGGTGATGAAATAGGACTTTCCTAGCTATATAAGCCAGATTACTCACCCATGCATATAGTAAGAACTAATGAATAATCAGTATAATTTCATCAGCTTTTAGAATATTTTATGTTGCTTGCACTATAGGAGTCATAAAAGGAACTTAGTTAAAACATGTTGGATTTTTAAACATTTGGGGGAAATATGAGCTGTATTTTAAATTCATTAGCTCTGAAGAATCTAAAACTGTTAATTTAACCCTTAACTTGTGCCTAGAAACTACAGCACATATAAAATATATAAACACTAGCCTTATTGCTATACTTTTCTGCTTATTTTACAGTCTCAAATATTTCTCATCATCTTGTGACTTAGTTCTTCATGCTCCTCCGTGTGACTTTTAATAATGATAATATTAGGAAAATAAAACCCAAAACTTTTCAGAACTTCAGTGTGAGCTTTCCTATTTTGACAAGTTATCTTGTAAATACTCAGGTTTTATGATGTTTCATTTGCCTAATAGACCAAACTAACTTGTGGAGATATTTTGAACTATTATTTAGCTACAAACTTTATAAAGAATGTTAGTATGTCATAAAATACAACGTTACAGCTTATTTAAAACCAAATATAGTTGAACATTTAAAATACATTTTCACAGAATGGATGAATTAGTCATTTCTTCAGAGTTACTTATGAACAGTTGAATGCTTTAAAATGTTCTATTTGTAGGTAACATCTAAAAACGCAAGTGGATTTATTTAAATTTTTTAAATTTGAAATTTTTTATTTGTAAAAGATTAGGCTTTATGCTTTATCATATAGCAAATGAGTGTCAGAGTTTTGAGTACCAGTTATCATGCTTCCATTTTTTAGTTTTAAACCACGAAACCAATATTTTTCCTTTACATTTTAATATCATAATACAGAAATCTATGTAAATGAAATTTGGTCATGTTTCAAATAAAGAGAAAGTAGAAAATAATAGAAATGCCAGTTAAACAACATAATGTTTAATTTACAATTTATGTTAGGGCTTTTGGGGAACGCTAATTATATATTAAGAATATACATTAGAAATCTTTAAAATGTTTGGGCTCTTCTAATGAAGTCACTACTGAGCAAACTTGTTTCCTCTTTTGTTAAATAGAATAGGTTTAAATGACTAGTCAAATGAATTATTTTCTCCATGTTAAATTTTCTTTTAATGACAGACCTTAGGTAAAAATAAAAACATTGTAATTCTAGAAATTACCCTCCAGCTTTCTCACCTGAAAATCTATTGAAGTGATCCCTGGTTACCCTAATAATGGGGTAAAGGAAGGTTCCAACAGATTTCAGGCTGTTATTAAAGTTTTTCTTGGTCATTTTCTCAAAAGTACTTAAAATCAAGATGCTCGTGGGCACTGAAATGCATTTACAGTTTTTGCTTGTGTACTACTCAGTCAGCATAGAAAAGTAACTGAAAGGGTCGGGCGCGGTGGCTCACGCCTGTAATCACAGCACTATGTGAGGCCGAGGCGGGTGGATCACGAGGTCAAGAGATTGAGACCATCCTGGTCAAATGGTGAAACCCCGTCTCTACTAAAAATACAAAAAATTAGCTGGGCATGGTGGCGTGTGCCTGTAATCCCAGCTACTCAGGAGGCTGAGGCAGGAGAATTGCCTGTTCCCAGGAGGCGGAGGGTGCGGTGAGCCGAGATCGCGCCGAGCCGAATTCGTGCCATTGCCCTCCAGCCTGGGTAACAAGACCAAAATTCCATCTCAAAAAAAAAAAAAAAAAAAAGTAACTGAAAGACTCTTATCTTTCTGTCCTTGATAAAGTAGTAAAGAGAACCAAACAAACTCAGGCCTGATGGGAAAAATGATTCCTTTATTCTAGCATTTACTCCTTGCTGTTGGTATGGGAAGTTTTATTAATTTCTATTATTAGAGTTCATACCACAAAATGATATGTAAGAATAATAACCTTTACTTGGGGTAAATCATGAATTTTTTTTCTTACCTGTGAGTATAAAAGATGAAAGTTGAACAGCATGGAATCTAACATTGCCAAATTATTAATGAATGTATAGTTCAGGTATTCTTTGAGACACAATATCATTAATTTCCTAATTGTATTTCAGTGTTATTTTTTGTGTGTGACCACTAAGCTTCTGTCTTAACATAAAGCTGTTACCTTCTACAGAATTTAAGTCTGAAGATGTAAAGAGAGAACAGGCCTTGTGTAAAAGAAGATACTCTTTTTTTTTTTTAATCCTCCTTACTGTGATCACAGAAATATAAAATAATCCAAGTGCTCTCTAGATTTGTTGATAAACATTTTATGCTTGCATCTAAACTTGAACTGTGTGAACAGAATGAGACAATCAGTTAAATCAGAAATGAAAAGTATTATAATGTAATGGCCTTGTTTTGCTGTAGCAATAAAATGACCAAGTGCAATGATTGATTTAATAAAATCATCTTTTAAAAGTTGCTGCTATGAATATTTTTAGCTATAAAATTTTACCCTGACTTGCTTTCAGTAACTATTATGTAATACTGTTGATGTTGTGGTAACCTAACATTGCCAGCCCCGCCCCCCCGCCCCCCCCACCGCCAAAAAAAAATTTGAAATGGAGAATCTCAAAATAGTATACTTTACTGACTTGTTTACAGGTGCTGTATAAAAAGCATGCTTCTCTCTCAAAAAGAAAACTTAATAATAAAGAATTTTATTGCCTGTTGTGCCAGTCTTTTCTGGTTATTTTTCATTAACTTTAGTATTTGTGTATTGCAGAGTATGATAAAAATTGGTTTATATTATTTGAATTTCCAAATACAGGAATAAATAGCAAACTGAAAGGATTAAAAGTTCTAGACCTGTATGACTTTTACTGAACTTTTCTGAGTCTGGTTTTTAATCTGAAACTGAGATAATAATTTCTGCTATACAGGATTATGGGGAAATTTTGAAATATTATCTAAAGGGCCTTGTAGAATGCTTGGCATAGAGTAGGTTTTATTTATTTATTTATTAAATGGAGGCTACCGTTTTACCTTTTTAAAGAGTATTTTACAATGATGGATGTGATATAAACGAGATTGCACCACTGCACTCCAGTCTGGGTGACAAAGTGAGCCTCCATCTCAAAAAACAAACAAAAAAAAACTATAGTGGCTGGGCACGGTGGCTCACGCCTATAATCCCAGCACTTTGGGAGGTCGAGGCGGGTGGATCACGAGGTCAAGAGATCGAGACCATCCTGGTCAACAAGGTGAAACCCTGTCTCCTCTACTAAAAATACAAAAATTAGCTGGGCATGGTGGCGCGTGCCTGTAATCCCAGCTACTCGGGAGGCTGAGGCAGGAGAATTGCTTGAACCCAGAAGGCGGAGGTGAGATCGTGCCATTGCACTCCAGTCTGGACAACAACAGCGAAACTCCATCTCAAAAAAAAAAAAAGGTATTGTGATACTTACAGCTGTATTCTTTTTGCTCAAAATTGCTTTGGCCATTTGGAGTCTTTTGTGGTTCCATATCAATTTTAGGATTGTTTTTCTATTTCTGTAAAGAATGTCATTGGTATTTTGATAGGAATTGTGTTAAATATGTCTATTACTTTGGGTAGTATGGACATGTTAATAATATTAACTCTTCCAATTCATGAAAAAAAAAAAGATTAAGAAAAAGGAGGCATTGTATATCCTTTACCCGTTTTTGAATACAATATAGTATCTCTTTGGGAAGGTGCTCTTTTCATTTGTATTATATTGTTCATAGGGAGCTGCTATCATCTTACAGATTCTACCTCCTTGACCACCTAGGAATTACCCCTTGAGAGATTACTTGGCTCAAATTGAGTTATTGAGTTAATCAGAGAATGAAATTTTAAAAATTGGAAACAAAAAGAGCTAATCTCAGCATGGGAGCTCTCCACAGTTGTATTTTTCTGTCATCTGGAAAAAGCTGTTGTGAAAAACGAAATTTAGTAGAGCGTAAATAGATAGAAATAGAATGTGGAAGGACTTTGAAGCTAATTATAGCTGTTGCTGAGTCTCAACTACGTATTACTTGGTTCTATAAGCAGAAACTTGCTCATAAGATTGTTGGGTTTCTGAACTCACAACCGAAAAAGTCCTGATACATACAGAAAACAAGATGAAATCAGGCGAACATAAAGCCCATATACTTTTGCTGAACATAGGTCACATATATTGCTTTAGAGACTCTAGTAGTGTGCTGGAAGATCTGAAACAGTAGGAATAGGACACTACTATAAAGCAATGTGGAAAATTGGTGTGTCAGATAAGTTTTTAAAAATCTTATTTAAAAAGCTTCTGCCAGGCGTGGTGGCTCAGGCCTGTAATCCTAGCACTTTGGGAGGCTGAGGTGGCCAGACACAGTGAAACCCCTTCTCTTTTAAAATACAAAAATTAGCCCAGCATGGCAGTGTGTTCCTGTAGCTAGCTACTCCAGAGGCTGAGGCAGGAGAATCACTTGAACCCAGTGGGTGGAGGTTACGGTGAGCCAAGATTGCACCACTGCACTTCAGCCAGGGTGACTGAGTGAGACTGCATCTCCAAAGGAAAAAAAAAACAAAAAAAACTTTGGAGGCACATAATGATAAAGTTTTGGACTATGGAATTTGTGTTTGAAGAATGTAGAAGGCTTTGTCTGGAAATACAATTTGCAGATTTAGCCGAGTTCTAGGAAATAAAAGCAGATAGCAGTTTAACTCACCTGGATTTATTAGGCTCTGTTACTTCTCAAGATTCAAGAGAGACTGGGTCTGGGTGTTAAATTTTGTTTTCTCCAAATCCTGTTATTGCATTTATTTTACCACTAACACCATTTTTGTGAATCCGCTTGTTCCATGTAAAGAAAATAAATTCACAAATAGGCATCTATTTTTTTGTATAGAGCCAGTAATTTTTCTGTCATGAAAGGTGTGGCTATTTGACAACTATTGGATGGTATTATTTCCTATTAGTTTCCAAGTAATTCTTGACTAACTACATTTCGGTTTATTTAAAAGTGTGTGAATAAAGTTACTGAGTAAAATTACATTTTAAGTCATCGAGTAACTTTTTTTTGTTTTTTCGAGGCAGGGTGTCACTCTATAACCCAGGTTAGAGTGCAGTGGTATGATCTTGGCTCACTACAGCCTCCACCTCCTGGGCTCCAGTGATCTTCCTGCATCAGCCTCCTGAGTAGCTAGGACTACAGGTGCATGCCACCACGCCCACCTGATTTTTGTATTTTCTTGTAGAGACCGGGTTTCACCATGTTGTCCATGTTAGTCTTGAACTCCTGATCTCAAGCAGTCTGCCCTTCTTGGCCTCCCAAAGTGCTGGGATTACAGGCTTTAGCTACCATGCCCAGTGAGTAACAATTCTTTAATAAAATCACATGTCATCGTTTCATGGTAGAGTGGATTTTTAGAAATATTCCTGAACAGAATGCAAATAACTTGATGTGACAAACTGAGGACACTTTTACTGTCTTTTCCTCCCTTGAAACTCACTAAAAACAGTAAGTACAATGAAGACTGGATTTGGCATTAATAGATTAAAAAGCATATTTAAGATAAAAACATTGCCTTTCAGATGAAATAAGAAAGCCACAATTTATAATAGTAAAAATACCTCCCAAATGCTTTGGAGGGAGCAGCCTGAAATCTGATACAAACTTTTTCAGACTTTGTGCCAGATGCAGATTTCTGTAAAAGGCCCATCTGATCATTGTAGGCTCAAATCCTCTACAGAAGACCAGCTGGGAAATTAGAAACGGAAAGAGAAGCCTCACTAACTGTAAGCCCTAATAATTTGAAGGCTGAAAACCAAGGAGAGGGAGACATGCTCTTAGGGAAGACAGATTTAATTAGAGAATATTTTTGATAACATGCTGAAATTGTAGCTCTTCCTCCCTATGCTATTCAGCAAGTAACTGACACCATGGAAAGGTGAATAATCAAACACAAGTATCTTTATGGATGTCTGTGTTTTGTATAACAGAAAAAAGTACAGAAGAAAAGCTTGGTTAAAATTCTTATGTCCCAGGAGGGAAAAAAATGATATATAACACCAAGGTACATCTGTTAAGTTATGGTACTTTAAATAATGAATATTGACTCAAAGAGAAGTTGAAATTTTTAATTGACTAGTCACACCTCAATAAATTTCTCACTGAGGAAGGAAGGCCAGATGATAGCTGTGTTTTATCTTTAAGCTACTCAAAGCTATAGAAAAAGATGGAAAACCACCCAATTTTTTTTTTTATTTAAGAAGAAATTACTCTTTATTGATCACCAGAAATCTGCAGCAAACAGCTTAACATCTTAATAAGTACACCTAGGCCTGGGCTCTGAGGCTTGCTCTGCCTCTCCCAGTCCTTAATGGGGTTTAGAGGGAGAGACGTCATTAACAGAGACCAAGCCAGATGGTTGCAGGTCCTCCTTTTCCAGTCATGACAAGCTGCTCAGTTCTTGTCCAGAGCAGGAAAGAGCCAGTACTCAGTAAAGTCTAATAAAGAATTTGAGGTTGCATTATAAGATCTCTCAACAATTTAGATTTATCAACAGTATTGGTCGAAAACTCATTTGCTTCTGATCTAAATTTTTTCATTTTGCAATTTGTGTGTGTGGTTTTAATAAATCAACTCAATCCCTGTACAGAAATTAACCCAGTGCAAAGAAAAATCCCTCAACCTGGAATAGCCTCACTTTGGAAAGAGAAAACAGATATTTCTGCTCCTCCTCTACCCAAGTGATGAACAAACATCCCCCACAAAGTTCAAAATATTACTCTGGCCTCGGAATGTACATAAAGGCTGCTTTTGATGGGCTGATTCCAGTTACCTAGAAAGGGCAGCTGGAACCACTATGCAGGCAGCCTTCTTTGGAAATTTCTTAAAATCAACTCTTGAGAACCAGCCATGATTGTGTACAACAGCTCTACGGTCCAAACAGCTTCTGTTCTTTCATCTCACGAGCAAGGCTCAGAGGAGGCATTTGAATTGTCAGGAGCAAGAGCAGCAGCTGTGGCCCCACGAGGTAGGAGTTCAATAACTCGCGGCCTGTCAATGATCTGGGCCGTTCCGTTTCCCTTTTCCACAATGCCAGTGATCCACGCTTGGTGACTCTCTCCATATTTGGAGGATTTGATTACGGAACAAAAGTGAGCTGCCTGTTCTCTAGGCAGACAAATTAGTAATCTCCAGAGGTTTCAGCTGAGGTTCCTTGAAGAAGCCCAAACTGTCCACTGGCCTTGTTGGCGGCAGCCATCTTGGCAATTATTGGCAGATTATGAGTAACAAAGGACACTTTGTTTCTTTGTTGTTTCGCAAGGTTTCTGGGAGTGTTCTAGAATGCCAAAGCTTGTGATATCTGTGGCCGCATGGGCATTAAATGTGTGCATTAAACCTGCAGCAGTTCTGTTGAGGGTAGCCATATTGAACATGGCTTCCTGTTAGGCCAGCTCTACCTCTTCTCCGGAGACCACCATCTTTACTTTATTCCATCTTTTAGGATTATTCAGCCATTGGTGGGCATTGACAGCAACCTGGGTTCCTAACGGTTTGGTTAACACCAGCACATCCCCATTAACCAGCACATACCCAACCATCACGCTGTCGGGCATTATGAATTCATTTGGCTGGCATACCACAGTAGCAACTCCACCGATTATAATCCAAGGGTTGAGCACCGTTTGCCCACCAGTCACTGCAGTCCCTCCTTCCTCAGCCGCATCCCGAAAGCCTTTGACCGTGAGTGGCGTTACCTTTTCGTGTTCCTCCTCACTCATACTCTGGCTGACACTGAGTAACATCAACATGTTGTCACACTCAGTAAGGCCCATGGCATAGAGGTCACTCAGCATGTTGGCACAAGCTATGTGCCCCATCACGTGGGGATCTTCCACCAAGGGGTAAAAGAAGTCCGTGGTCTGCACCAGCGACAGGCCCCCATGCCTCAGGGCAACGATGCAGGAGTCCATCCCGATGCCCAGGGCTGGAAAAGTGGGGCTGGGGCCCGCTCCGGTTTCCTGGGACACCTCTTCCTGACCGCCCACCAGGCCCCTGCTCAGTAGGGGCCGCACGTCCGGCCCCGTCAGTCCCGCCAGTAGTTTGAGCAGCGTCTCCTGCGGGACCTTGCAGTCTCAGCCCTTCATGCCGGAGAAGCCTGTCAGCCGCCAGGCAGGGCTGAGGCCCAACGCCTGGGGCTCCAGGGGCCAGTAGTTGGAGATGCGCTGGCCCGGAGTCAAGCAAGCCGGCCCTTCCGCAGCTGCCATCGCTACCATCGTTCCTCCGCAGGCGCCCGTCACCAAGGCTTCCGCCATCGTGCATGGTCAGACTCACGCCTGGTCAAACTCACGCCTCAGGCAGCCTTCCAGGTCTTCCTCCCAATTTCTTTTATGAATCCAGCATACCTTTGATATCTAAACCTGATCATCAGAAACCAGTCTCACGTAAAGATTTCGTATCTGGAAATTTACCAGTCTTAACGCATTATATGAAATTAGAAAAAGGAAATTTTCATTTAGATAAAAGGAAGGGATTTCCCGTACTGGGTATGGTGGTGAAAAACAGTGACAAATTGGTACCGCTCTCTTGATGCATGCCCAGCAGTTCCAGCCACCATTGTGTTTACACCAGCAGTGCAAATCTCAACACATCTTTGTATTATCATAAAAGTGGTTTTGACCTTGTGGACCACGCTTTGAGAACCGCTGACCTAAGATGACCTGGTATGGTCTTTAGTATGTAGTAGACAATCAGTAAATGTTTAGTGAATGAATAAGTGACGAAAAGGAGGTATTTATCCCTTGTCTTTACTGTGCCCTACCTTTTCTTCCTTCGTCTTCAAGTATTCAAGTATACAAGTATAATATCTCCTCAAGACTAACCACTTCCATGCCATTTGCTACAAAATAGACATTCTTCCAGGGCTCTTAAAATGTATTTAACATTTTATATACTGGACTTTAGCTGGTCAGTTTAATTAACCTACATTTTATGGCAAACTTGCCTTTTAAAATAGGCATGGCATCAAACACTCCTAGCTAATGTTTATTTTGTGCTTACCACGAACCAAGTGCTATTCCAAGTAATTGCTATCTAATTTAGCTGTCTATCCTGTCTAATCATCTCAACAATCCTATGTGCTAGGTGGTGTTATACTCCACAGATGAGGAAAGAGGCTAAGGAAGGTTAAGCAACTTGGCCAAGCCCACTGAGCTAATAAGGGCTGGAGCTGAACTCAGCTCAAGAAACCGAGTTTTGAAGCCTGTGCTTTTGCTCATAAGCTTTATTGCTTTTCTACATAGAATATATATAGGAAAGGAGGCTGCATGGGGAATCTGAATTTCTTCTAGTCTAGTCTTACATTCACTCTTTGTGATCTTTTATATTGTCTATCAGTTTTTTTTCCCATCAGTAAGTGACTAAATGTAAAGTCTATTTTCAGTGATCTCATAGTTTTTTGATTCCTCTGTGATGTGATCACACAAGATTTTAGGCAACATTCTTCATTTCTTATTGTATATCTTTGCAAACTTAAATGGTTTTCACAGCTTTCAGCAAAAACACAAGAAACCACCCTACTAAGCTTCCATAAAGAAATTAAATGGGCCGGGCACAATTGCTCATGCCTAAAATCTCAGTACTTCAGGAAGCTGAGGTGGGAGGATTGCTTGAGCTTAGAACCTGGGTTGGGCAACACAGGGAGGCCTTGTTTCCACTAAAAACAAAACCTAACTGGGCGTGGTGGTATGCGCCTGTAGTCTCACCTACTTGGGAGGCTGAGGCGGGAGGATCACTTGAGCCCAGGAGGTTGAGAACGGAGATCACACCATTACACTCCAGCCTGGGCAACAAAGTGAGACCCTGTCTTTCAAAAAAAAGAAAAGAAAAAAGAAAGAAAAAAGAAAATTAAATGACCACTAGATGGCAGTCAAATAAAGCTCAGCTTATAAGTGTCTTGGTAGCAGCTGCAATCAGAGGGGGCTTGGAGCTTCAACCTCAACTGGGACACAACCACCCTACTTTCCTACTCTGATTACTTCCCCAAGCTAAGTGCTGCATAGGGACCATTTTCTTAGTCTCACTAAGATTATTACCAGTTCCATGGAGGAAAAAAGAGAGAATGAAATAAGATAATTTATATTCTTTTCAGTCTATTGAATTTTTGTGAATGTATGTGTAATGCAAAAATGCCTTTATGTTTGTTTATTCTATCTTGATCTGAGCCTTTGTTCTCACTGAAGCAAGAAAAAAATTGCATTCAAAAATTGCAACATTCTCATCTGGTTTGTTTATTTATTTATTTATTATTTTTTTGTACGTGAGATAAGAGTCTTTCTCTGCCACCCAGGCTGGAGTGTAGTGCCATGAACTCGGCTCGATACAACCTCTGCCTTACTCAGGGATCTGCGTTGGTTCTTAGTGTGGTGTCTGTGTGTGCAGAAAGTGGATACATCCTTTAGGGAGCAGGAGGAGGCAAGACTTCGTGTTTCTGAGCCTCTTGCTCTCCTCTGCCCCTTTCCTCCCTAGTTAAGTATTGACTTGAGAAGACATCTCACCTCTTGCCTGCCCCTTGCTCTTGCTCTCTGTGCCAGAACTTCTCCTGTTCAGAAACAGAAGGGCTCTGGATTAGCTTTCTATTGCCACTGTGATTACCACAAATTTACTGGTGCAAAACCAATAGACGTGTCATTTTATATGCTGGCGGTCAGAAGTCTGACATGAATTTCACTGGGCTGATATTAAGGCATAGGCAGGGCTGAGTTCCTTTGGAAGCTCTAGGGAGAAAATCAATTTCCTTGCCTTTTCTCATTTATGTATTTATTTTTGAGATGGAGTCTTGTTCTGTTGCCAGGCTGCAGGGCAGTGATGCAATCTCAGTTCATTGCAACCTCCACCCACAGGTTCAAGCGATTCTCCTGCCTCTCAGCCTCCTGAGTAGCTGGGACTACAGGTATATACCACCATGCCTGGCTAATTTTTTTTATTTTTTATTTTTTTAGTAGAGATGGGGTTTCACCATGTTAGCTAGTAGGGTCTCAATCTTCTGACCACATGATCCACCTGCCTCGGCCTCCCTAAGTGCTGGGCTTACAGGTGTGAGCCACCATGCCTGGCTACCTTTTCCAATGTCTTTAGACTGCTGGTATTTCTTAGCTCATGGCCCCTTTTCTCCACTTTCCAAAGCCACCTGTAGTGGGTTGAGCCCTTCTTACACTGCAGTCCTCCGTCCTTCATGCATAGTCACATCTCCCTGGTTCTGTCTCCCTCTCCACCCTTAAAAACCCTTGTGATTACATTGGGCCCACCTGTCACATTGGCAAAATCCCTTTTGTTGTGTAAGGTAACATATTCACGGATTCCTGGGACTAGGATGTGTATGTATCTGTGGTGGTGGTGGTGGGGACATTATTCTGCCAGCCACAGGCTCTCTGTTTCCCGTCAGATTGAAATGTTCTTGTATACCAGCCTTCTTTTCCCTATGCTGTGGTATTTACTCCTCCTTTCTTTATGGCAGTAATGGAAGGCCTCAGAGAAAGGATTCAGCTTACCACTGAGACAAAGTACTTTTTAGGGGGGTGTGTTTTAAAAAATCATCCCCAGAATAAATAGTGACTTGCCCAGGGAGTTCTCAGGTCAGACTTGGAACTGTGCCATGCTATACAAATTCTTTGTAATTTTTATAATCCTTGGAGGTAAAAACAAAATAGAACCAAACAATACAAAGAATGCTTTAAATATTATTTTATATCCAATGGCTAGCTGGACTATCCTGATGATACCTTTCTGTTACAACCAAGACTGGTGCTTCAAATGAGAAGTACTAGGTAAGTAGAAACCTCATAGTATTATCACCTTTAAAGTTGTTCTGCTGTTGTTTTGTATGTTGTCTGCCATATCCTTGTATGATCTTCAACCACATTGCAGATGAAAAGCCAGGAAGTACGTATCCTAGATTCCCTTTTCCTGTGGGTTGAAAGGCAAATGAGAAGAGGCTGTTTTCCAGGTGCAACTGTGGGTACATGCAGGCCAACTGCAGGCCGAGAAGTGATGGAGATAGGAGGGCTACTCCTAGGAACCAACCACACCTGAGCTGGGGGCTGCTGAGCTGGGGCAGCTTCTTGGGAATCGCTTACTTTGAAGTTCTTGGATCCCCTCAAGCATAGCTATATCTTTCCAAGACTTTGTTTCCCTCTTACTCCTTTCCCTCCCTATGAAGCAGTAGGTGTTTCTTGAAGGCTCTGTGATTTGTGGTGAGCTCTTGGGAAGCCCTGGGCTTTGGAGCTGCAGGCTGAGATTTTGGGGATACCTCCTCTTGTTCCCCCAGCTCTTCCAACAGGTGTGCAAGGCCCATTCACTAGATTATAACTCTTTGTATTTGGAATGCAGAGTTGAATCAGATTTCTGAACTGAATTTTGACTGGTGAAGGATTTTGTTTTGTTTTGCATTTTTTGCTAGTTTAAATTATATTTTTGTCGTGAAAACTTAGAAAATATCAGAGTATAAAATGTTCCTACAAACAACTAATCAAAGAAGAGATAACTATAAACATTTTTGTTTCTTTACATCTTTTTTTACATTGTATGTATAGATACGTAAGAATTTTTCTTTAAAAATTTTTTTAAATTACGTTTTTATTTTTATAGATTAGGGGTATAAGTGCAGTTTTGTTATACGGATACATTGTATAGTGGCGAAGTCTTGGCTTTTAGGGTACTTATCACTTGAATCGTGCACCTTGTACTCGTTAGGTAATTCCTCATCCCTCATCTAGCTTTTCAAGTCTCCAAGTCTGTTCCACTCTCTGTGTCTATGGGTACACATTAGTAGCTGCCAGTTGTAAATAAGAACATGCAGTATTTGACTTTCTGTTTCTGAGTCATTTCACTAAGGATAATGGCCTCCAATTCCATTTACATTACATTTACAAAAGACATGATTTCATCATTTTTTATGGCTGAATAGTATTCCATGACACACACACATATATATATACGCACACATATATATGTATATATATATACACACACACACACACACACACATATATATATGTATATATACACTTTTCTTATTCAGTCATTTTCTTTATTCTCATCTGATGATGGACACGAAGATTGATTCCATATCTTTGCTATTGTGAATAGTGCTGTGATAAACATATGAGTGCAGATCACTTTTTAAAATATAATAGTTTCTTTTCTTTTGGGTAGATACCTAGTGCGATTAATGGGTAGAATGGCACTTGTATTTTTAGTTCTTTGAGAAATCTTTATACTGTTTCTGTGGGGGTTGTTCTGATTTACATTTCCACTAACAGTGTATAAGCATTCCCTTTTCT